CAGGCTGGAGCGAGTCCCGGACCAAAGGGGAAAAACCACAGCTTCGGGATTTGATTATTCTGAAAAAATAGCGCTAGCTGAATTTCATTTAAATTCTTTATCTGGGCTTTACCACTCTGTGTGTGTGTGTGGGGGGGGGGGTCCTCTTATCTGTTTGTGTTATCTTGTGTTGAGTCATTCAGCCTTGACACAGATCCTTTCTTATCTAAGAGCTGCCGAGAGACAACTAAACGAGGGCAAGGTGAAGCCAACCGATGAAAGAGCAAATGACACTTTCTCAAACACGACTTTGTGGACTGAAGAAGTCAGTGGATTGTACAAACTGTGTTCGGTCGAGTCTGTTGACTGTCAAATGGAGAGAAAGATAAAGGCCAGGCCGCTATCACCAAATAACGATCTCTAGCCAGATAAATTGTCCCTAATACTTATCGCACTGTAGTTTCCTTTCTGACTGGCAGGCTGGGTCTAGGAAACTAGGGAAAGTGCGTGCCTGAGGGAAAATCTGACACTTGGCTCATTCGCTTTTGTTTATTCACATTAAAGACCAAATGAATTGGCTCAACAAATACAGATTTCTTTAGTATGTTTGATCATTTGGACAGTTTTCAACTGATCAGATTAGGAGACCAACAGTCTAAGACCAGCAATCTAGCTTAGGGAGGTTTAGGTGGTTTTTTTCAACCCTTAATTGGATATAATCAATATTTTTGGTCCATTTTCTGGAAGAGAAAGAATGTGCATCTCTTCAATTTCTAAGAGTACAGCATACATCAAAGCTAACTCATGTAGTAAAAGTCTGAAAACTGATTGGTCTTTAAATGAAAAAAAAAGGTATCTTGACAGGCTTTATCCACTTTTTAGGAAATAATATGCATCTTGTGACTCAACAGAGTGTTATCAGTGCGTACATGTGCAGAGCAAAGAGTTTACATTATGTATATTTGATCTTGTCAGCAAGTATGGGGAATTCTGTTTCTTGTAAAAAATACTTCATCAGTAGAGTCTTCAGGAAATTTCTGCACATTGCCACTAGTTATAAAAGTTACAAACTGAAATTACCGTGTCAAATATGATACAGGATCAAAGCTAAGAATCTAACTGTGGGGAAACACCTGACAGCAACTGGAAAGCAACTGTAAATTCTTGTGTTGTATTAGAACCATATCGTTTGCTTGAAGGACTAAGAGTATAACTAAATCTAAGAGACAAAAATCGGGGCCACATCAAGTCATTTTCTAATCCCAAGAACAAATGAAACATCTAACAAAAGGCTCCGAGTCTCACGCCACCGCATCCTCTTTCTAGAAAATGTCATAGGCATGCTTGACTGAGAGCGAGCCAAGCAGATGAAAACGCTTTGGTCTCATCCCCCTGAAGCTCTTTTCCAACTCTAATGTATATAATCTCCTCACTTTGTGCTGCTTGTGACATTTCTATGGAGATAAACTGCTAAAATACAGCTACTCCAATGCATCGCATTCCCGATTCAACAGCCGCCTTTAAATGTCATTCATCCACTCTCACACTTACAGCCATTGGTGGCGCGAGTCAACAAAAACTGTGAATGAGAGAAATACGTCTTGTTCCTGTTCCGTCGCACTTCCTGAGGCTGAGTTTGGCTTGACGTAGCGCTTGTTGCTTGCAAAGGAAGTAATTATTAATTATAAGACGGATTTGGCTGACTCACAGAGGAGGAAGAGGCAGGTTTAGAGTGTTTAAGTGATACTCGAAGTATAGCAGCAGTGGTGTAATACTATCCAGCCTCCCATGCTGAGATACTCAATGCTCTTACTGCCTGATACTACAACAATGTCAGCAAAGTGCCCACACGCTGACCCCCGACTTTAACCCTCATTATAGATTCCCTACACCCTCCGCTCTCTCTTTGCTCGCCTATCATCTCCTCTCTCGCTCCAGCTATCCGTCACATTCTCTCTCCGAGAGCCCATCCTTGTTTTAATCTGAGTGCTAAACTGAGAAACAGTCACACATCTTCACATGCACAAACACTCCCTGACTCCAGTGTGGTTGCTTTGTGGTTTTGAGCCGCGTACGCGTCATTACCACAGGTCTCTCTTCGAAAATGAGGCACAATTACGACAGTGATGCATCACAGCCTAGCCAACTAGTGCAGAACAATTCCATTTAAACCCAGCTTTTATGATGTCTCATTCGTAAAGACCCCAGATCAGACCCACCTCGCAACTGCAAGTTTAATTACAGATCACATTCAATTACATCGAGCCTGTTCATGTAATTGGTACTATCAAACACACTACGAATTTAAGAAAACTGAAACTTCCAAATGATCTAACATCCATAACAAGAGACCCAAAATAATCTTACATGCATCTCTATCTCATCTCTGGTGTTTATGAACACCACACTGACACATTTTGTTGCAGATGAATTGCCTAGTTATATATTTCTCCTTGCCTCTTTCAGTCACGACTCGTAGACACACATACACTCTAGTCTGGGTTTTAGTTTCTCCTGACACTGCAGAACTGAAGCTTCAGCGTGCAGACAGATACAGCGGCGTCATTAGAGCGGACCCACAAGGGACCGCTGGCAGGCAGGTGCACGTATCCTCACTTCCACCAGGGGAGCTTGGGAGTGGGGCATCGTCTTGTTCTCTGCTCTCGGTTATGAACACACTACTAAAAGCAGCAAAGTTAACCAAGGGATCAGACCCTGGATAATAGCAGAAAACTGGGACGTGGGGACATAGGGACAAGAGCATTGAACCTAAAGCTTCAAGGACAAAATACTGCAGCCAAGAGTAAGCATTTCTGCTATACTGTATCTTATAACATCAACTAGGTTTTTGCATTTTCTGAAGAAATAAGTGAAAAGAGTCCACCTAAGACTCTATGATTCAAGTCAAAGTCAATGTAAGTCTATGCATTTTTTCACCGGATGCTAGGCAAAAATGGTCAAATCGGACTAGCACAATCGCCAAAGATCTTCAAAACTGGAATAAAACGTCTCAGTCTTACAGACTAGCTGTATCAGGTTTGTCCTGTCTCACTAACTCTGAACCCCAAAAACTATTTTCTCCCAAGTCTTCATTCTTACCCCTCCCTCCCCGAGCAGCATTAATCACCCTGGCCCTGAACAGAACTAAATGACTACGGCCATTCAAGCCCAGGACAGCTTTGTTACACACACACAGCCTTTTCTGAATGCATCTCCACAGCCTTTTTTGTTTGCTTGGAGAGGGCTGCTCCTCAAACCCAGCTCCTCCTTCCACCAGAACGGCCGGATTACCTCTCACAGACCAGTCGGACAGGGAGAGAGGAGGGTTATGGAGCAAACAGTTCGCCGGGGTGATTCATGGGCCCTTCTAGAAAGATACACCCCTCTTACCCTCCGAAAACTGCCTTCAACCAGTGCCTAGCAACCGGCAGCTGGGGCGCAACAGAATTGGGGATGGACAGGGATTTTCTGAGCTGAATTGGGCTAGACTAGCAGGCTCCATGGTAGATACAGGGACAAAAACAGGAGACAAACAGCAAGACAAGTGCAGAAGCTGGAAGGACAATGGCAGAAGCTGTAGCCTGACTCAGCCCCTCATCAGTCATTGTAACATCTACTGGCCTTGTTCTCTTTAAAGAGTTCAAACAAAAACCCAAGCAAACACTGTTAAGTGCGAAACGGGGATTTTGGACAAAGGCGCTCTTGACACAGCTAATGTAATGTGTGTGACTGTCTCAAAGACAAATAAGAACTGTTCAAATCATGAAAATACCCCAAATACAACCCACACCAACTCCAAGTGCAGTTTGCCTTATCTAAACACACCATACACTGTAATTAGGTATATTAATTTTATTTTCTTAAGATACAGACTTAATGGTTGGACACACTAATCTGACTACATCGAGCCATTTGTTTCACACCATTAACAATATCTTCATTAGCGATTAATTAAAAAGCTAACAAGTGTTCATTGTCCATTACTCATTTAGTTATGATATATAATAGAGACTACCAAATAGACAGAAGTGATTGGCTTCCAAACTCCTTTACGGTCTTGATCTATACAACAAAACTGAGCAGTTTAGGCAGCTTAGGGAATGCAGAGAAAAGACATGAACAGATGTGGGGAAATAAACATGCTGTTTTAAATATGACATAAGTCACATAAGCCTCTGAGTTTTACTTGAATAATAATCCTGATGTAATATTTTAAAAAGCAGAACGGACTAAGCAAGAGGGAGTAATGAAACCAAAAACAGACATATCAGAAGATGCAACTAACAGCACCAGTTCAGAAGTTAATATTGAAAGCTCTTCAGAATTCAGTGCAGACTATTGTGTCTGGTGTAATTGGTTCAGTTGATTGTTTCATACTCTTGGACTGATGAAATCTCATTCTGGATCACGTTTGCATATCCATTTCTTTGCAAAAACAATCTCAAATTATCAGTTTGTCATTCTTAAACCCTATGTTTCTCATTTGGGGTCCATATGTGCAATCTTTGCGCCACGCCTTGCGCATCCTCTGGTGCTTTTCACAGCAGGTGTCACCCCACATTCTGAGACTACCGCGACTGTGGCACCTGCTGTGGAAAGCACTAGTTGGTACCTAACCACACTGCTTTAACGCTGGAGTTATAAATATGGACTACAGCAGAAGTTTAACACATTTTATGATAAATCATAACAAACAAGTATTTCCCCCCTCCAAGTACAAATAATTCTCCACAAACACTCTACGCAGCAACATTACATTCTTATTCGGATTAAAACTAAATGTACTTTGCCAAGTGATGCCTGAAAAAAAGTGTCCAAAATAAAACCCAGCGCTCCTACTGTATAATACAAATAATTTTCTTGTAAAATTAATTGAAACAAAATAAATAAGATAATAATAATGAAGGAAACTGTGTAAGGGTGTATATAAAGTTAAATGATGCATTTAACAGGGTAATACACGAACCGCAAAGTCTCAGAAAACTCGTTCTATTAGAAACCGAGCATAAAAAGTAACTCACCATCCACTTGGTTAAAGTATACTAATCCACAGAGTAAAAGGTGTGTTAGAGGACTCATTCTGTCATAGTCCACATCCACTCCACACCTCAGTTCTCAAACACTGGACACGTTTCTCCTCTTTTAGTATTTGGAGTATGTAGGAACTCTCAGTTGCCGCTCAGATCTAGCTGAAATGTCAGATGAGTATTCGCTGAGCTCATGGTGTCTTTCTGGATGAGGAATGAGATCCACGCGCACCAGTGAGGATTGAACTAGTGTCTGTCAGCCCGTGGGTTATACCATGCCTTATACCAGCTTTTGATTTCTATCCTAACGGGACTAAAAAACAGCAGAAGCGAGTCAGAAACAGCAGAGAGCACGCGTAAAGACAGATGCGGATCTGTCCAAACGCGCGTAGAAATGTTGCGCGCTCCGGTTCCTTCAAAAGCTTCTGAAGCACTTTACAGATCGCTTTCACGACCGTCTCCGGTGTTTAAAGTGTAAATATGTCTTCTCGTTTCATTACACTCTTAACTCCACGTCCAGAAAAGCCGCTTCAAAGTTCCGTGGCGCGCCGTTAAATCCAGCGTAAATCAGTCGGGGTGGCGCTGGCCCCGTGCGAACGCTCTCTGTGAGTCTACAGCAGAGTGAATGTGATCTTGCGAAGGGCGAGAGCTCCGCAGCGCTCCTACAGCTCCATAACTGACACCCCTGTGCGCACAGCTCCCGGGCCGAGCCAAGACTGACGCTCATGCTAGAGGAAGAAACAGCGAGGGGGAGGAGAGCGGGAGGAGAGGAGGAGGAGGAGGATGCTGTGGGCAGAGGTGGCTGGGGAGCGCTCAAAGCTTCTCTCCGATCTGAGCTCACAGCTTTCCATGGTGTTATCCACAAAGTTGACTCAAAGCGCCAGACGATCGGCACCACTCCAAACGAAAAGACAGTAGGACCACCAATAGTATATAATTAATTATACAAAATATAAAACAAAGTAAAATTAAACTGATACAAATTATTATTATTATTTATCTTTACAATTTTGATTTTATTCCTTGTAAATAACCGCTAAATCTGGGATATAGCCTATACAATATGAATTATATTATTTATACTATAATTTTAATTATAATTACACTTATGTTTCTTTTTTTTTATTTAATTTACATTTTTATACAAATATAAAAACAAAAAAACAATTATAAAAGTTATACAAGATACATATATTCAATATAATAAAATACGAAATATAATATAAACTAGATCAAACTGTATACTTTCAGATAGATAGATAGATAGATAGATAGAGATAGATAGATTGATACTGCAGAGCGGAAGACCACCATTAACTGATATTATATTCTAGTCTCAGCTCTAAGACTGTATAATTGGTTTCATTAAAATTTGATGGGCTGTCCTGCATTAAGTGGATAATACTGAGGAGGTCAAACACACAAATCTCATTTCCTGAGAGGGAATTAACTTACATACTGACGTTAAATGTAATTTTGACGGGCAACATGTATGCTCTTGCTTTGCATTATTAAAGCAAATAAATGCAGTTTTTCCTTCGCTTGATGCTATTTAGACGCGTTCGGTTAAGAATTCTTATTTTAAATTTAATTTCAGAGCGAGTGTCAGGCAGGGTGAATAAATGCTGTGAAATGTGCCGCAGCTCAACCGAGCAGGAGCACGGGTTTGTGTCTGCATCTCCATCCGAGCGTGGACGCACTGGATGCCGCCTGGCTGCTTTAATCCACCTGCTTTGTGGACGAATCTTTAGCGCCCCCTAATGGTACAGTTAAACACAGAGCCCAATCAAACAAAGACCTCTGAGCTTTCCTATAGTTCCAAATATAATATGCCAGATAAACCTAAGGACCAATTTATAAGAATGTTAACCTTAAAAATATATATTTCAAACAAGCAACACAAAGGAGGCACAAAAATAAATAAATAAATAAAAAATCCATACAATCCAATATTTAGATCAATATGGGTTTTTCAGTTTACCTATAAAACATCCTCACCACATTCACATTTATAATCATTTGAGAACCTTTCACTCTTATGAAAATTAACTCTTTGATATTTACAGTTACATTACTCTAGTAAAATCATGCTAAATTTTCTAAAAGACAACGATTAATCACGATTAATCGCATCCAAAATACAAGTTTATTTATATTATATTATTATATTTATATTGTTTACATAGTATATGTGTGTGTGCTGTGTATATTTATTATGTATATATAAATACAAACACATGCATGTATATATTTAAGAAAAAATATGTTGGGTTTATATATGAAATATATTTATATATAATATAAAATATAAGAATATAAATATTTAAATGTATATGCATGTAAATATTTCCAAAATATATGCTGTATGTGAGTGTATGTATATATACATAATAAATATACACAGTGCACACATATATTATGTAAACAAAAACGTTTATTTTGGATGCGATTAATCGCGATTAATTGTTTGACAGCACTATATTATATAAACAAAAACTTTTATTTTGGATATGATTAATCGCGATTAATTGTTTGACAGCACTATATATATATATATACACACACACAGACGCACACCTTTATTGCACTTTGATTTGCAGTTACAAGAAATAAAATCACAATTGTGACATACAGTCACAATTGCCTTTTTTATTAATTCAATTAAATTTTACAGATAAAAGGCAAATTTCACACTTTTTTTTCAAAACTGCCACTGTGCACATTATCTCTGATTTATTCCAGTGCTAGTTAAAAAAAGTGTGTCGTTTAACTGAATTCAAGCATATCTGGAATAAAAGATGCTTTGAATTCGGCGTGAAACCTTGTATCAATAGCAGCCAAACCTGAGGCACTGGGGCCGATAAAAGCAGACCTGTAAAATCATCAAACATGGCCTGACTCCTCAGAAGAGCGGTTGGACTTGTGCAGGCAACACAGGGGCCGGATTCCCTGCGCGAGCGGGACGCTGGAATCCCCCTGCTTTCAAACTGATTTCTGACATCAATGCAAAATAAAAGCCCTTCTGTGGAAATCATTCAAAAACAGACACTTAAAAACAAATATCTGTTCTTCTCTCATCCCCTTCTTTCAACTGGTCTCGCTCCGAACTCCTGCTGCATTTCACACACACACACACACACACACACACACACACACACACACACACACACACACACACACACACCTTTGCAGTGCCATCACAGTGCTTCTTTTAAAAAGAGGGCTCTCTCAGTAGGTACATAATGATAGCTTTGACTCGCAGAAGCATTTTCCACCTCTTCTGTTTGTTTGTGAGGCGACATGTTGGAGCTTGTGAGGTTTTTGCTGCTGCAACATTTAGTTTGCGGTGAGTGCTTTCAACAAGCCAGATCCAGCAATCTTCTTGATAGTTTAATCCATGCGTGTGAGCCTCACAATGAATGTGAATTCATTATTCCTTTGTCAGCCCAACCACTAGTAACGCAGGTAGCTGCTATAGAATGGGACGCCATTGAATCGCTCCTCTGATATGACGTCACATTTCAATTGTATGACTGTACAGGGAATGAAAAGGCACAAAGTTCAAAACTTGGACACCCTGTTACATGATGCTGCTTCTGATAATGCCTCTTTGTAAGACTACTACTATTTCAACAAATGTTGCGAAAAGGTGTGCTATTACTTTTATATGTGAAAATTTGAAAGATGACAAAATATTATGAAAAAATCCATAGAAAATATCCCTTCAGACAGCAAGCATCCAGTCAGCAACATGAAAGAAAGTAAGAGAGCGAGAGAGAAGGAAAGAATATATTTACGAAAGAAGGAAATAATATATTTTAATATATTTTAAAATTTTATCATGTTAATAATGTTTAAATGTAATAATGTTTTACAGTAATATTGCTAAATATTACTATTAATAATATTGTTATTGTTGTTTTAATTTTAATATAGTTTGAATGTAATTTATTCTTGTGATGGTGAGTAAAAAGAAAAAAGCAAGCAAGAAAGAAAGAATATATTTGAATATGTTCTTTAATTCATCAATTTTTGAATAATTTTAATAGTTTTTAAATTCCTTGTTTATATTGTTATGATTTTTATGATTATTTTAATTCCTTTTATGTAAAGCACTTTGAATTACCATTGTGTATGAAATGTGCTATATAAATAAGCTTGCCTTGCCTAATATCTTTTAAAATGTGATATATTTTAATGTAGTTTAAATGTAATAATGTTTTATAGTAATATTGTAAAACATTACTACATTTAAAAAAAAAAAAAAAATTAATATATAATGTATTTTAATATAGTAATTTATTATTGTGATGACAAGAAAGAAAGAAAGAAAGAAAGAAAGAAAATCTATTTTAAAATGTAATATATTTTAATGTAGTTTAAATGCAATTTATTCTCGTGATGGCAAGGCTCATTTTGGAATCCTGAATCCTGAGAATCCTGAAAAAAAAGAAAAATGTCACAGCTTCCACAAAAAATATTAAGTATCTTTTATTAATATAAGCATATATGAGAGAGATACTGTGTAATAACTCTTTCTTAATGACAACAGCAAGGAATAAATTACAAAAAAATATATAAAAATACTACTTGGGTGGAGCACATTAGTGTGTAGAGGAAAAAATATATATTCCAGAGCCACATTGTGTTGTGTGCATCTTCAGCAGTGTTTATGTGCAGTAAACCCTTCTAGAGAGTATAGCAGGCCTGTATGTGGCCTCGCACTGAGAATGCTGTTCTACACATCCATAAACAATGCATGTCTCTGCTTTACGGCTAGATGAAAGAACTCCCTCCGTATCTCAATCTCCCTCGTTATATCTCCATTCTAAATCTACCCACTGTATCCCCATATCTTGAAAGGTAGCCCTGTCCCTGTAGGGTGCTAAATATTGGCTGAAAGTGGATTTATTTTAATTAAAAAGAAGAGATGTTTACCCAAGCCTGAGAGACACTTCAGAATCAGACGGTGGAGTGGGGGTGACCAAAGGAAGTGTACACGACCAGAGAACCATATCATGCATTATACGTAGAAGCATCACCTCTTTCATGCACACCAATAAGAAAAAATAAAAATGCTTATGCATGTGCTTCTTAGTGACATATTAATGTCATTTATAAGCTTGCATTGAATCTACAACCACAACAGATGCACAATAACCTCAATTCCACAAAATTATGCAGCTTTTCCGCCACAATTATTGAAGGAAGTGGTGAAATTCCATGTGGACCTACTCATGACTTTGTGTTTATATGGTTTATATGGTTGAAGGCGTTCACAGTAATTCCTACCGTTACCCAGCCAATCAAACCAAAGAGGCATAAAACGAAATGAAACGTATTACGCATTCGCATTACATCGAATGGTGAAAATGAAAATTACCTCAACAAAGGCTTTCAAAGGAGCTTAAAAACAGCAAAATTACAGCACGCTGTCAGTCACGAGAAATAACCCGAGATTAGCATTCATATGGTTGAATAAAATCTTCACTATTACAAGGGCACGCTTTTTATCCGAGCTCTGCTGAAGGCAAACACACTCACACACGTGAACAAAACCACCTCCCACATCAAATTATCCCTCCTTTCCTCTCGCTGTGCCCTTCTCTCCATCATCTCCCACGCCACAATGGCCACCAGTGCTCTGCCACATGCTCCAGACCTTCGTTTGTTCCCACCTAAACCAATCAAGCGCCTATCGCTGTCAACTCATTTGGCCAATTACGGCTGTATAATCAGAT